ATAAAAATGTCAAATTTTCAGTTTATATAAAATAATAATGAAATATCTTTCGTGAGTGTGTCCATTATTTGGAAGGTGTGCTTTAAAGATTGGGATTTGGATGTACATGGAATAAGGTTATTTTAATTTTTCAGGACAAAAACGGTGACCATATTGTGATTATTTTTTAGATCTCTATGATATCGACAAGGATTTCTACTTTTGCAAATGATAAATTGTATTTATCTCCCTGCCAAAGCTTTGGGTGTTTGGTCATTTAACATTTGGAATAGGATCTAAATTACAGTTCAAAATTCCTGCGCTTCAGATCAGGTTTGAGGAAAAAAACGAACACAACCCTTGCTATTTTGAATTCAAACAGGAAGGAGGAACTCCACAGAAGAAGGAAATGACCTCTAGTCTGCGCACTGACGTCACCTGTCTCACGTTCATTCAGACGGGCAGCAGAGCTGAGGAGCGTTTTAGGAGATTTCCGGAGAACTACTCGGTGCTTTGATTCCATCACAGAGAAAAGAAACCGGTCACAGACATGTCGGAGGGAGCAGACACTAACGTGAGTTTGAGTAAAGTAACGGGGTGGGTTACACGACTTTGACCATAGTTCTCCACAAACAGCAGCGCATTCAGCGCGCTTGCATGTAGCGCAGCTTCCGCATACGGAATCATTTAAAGAACGCTGATTGGCTGAGGTTATGTCAGGTTTCCGATCGAGTTTTTGATTGGACAGGAAAGGGGTTAGTGAATCAGAAAGTAGTGTTGCCAACTAGCGGCTTTGTAGAGACAGGAGAGGCTTTTTTTTAAAAGAACTTTTATTGAACCTTTGCAAAACGAACAAAATCGACTACATTTCAAAATTTGTTAGCAGAATGACATTACAGAGTAGCTCTGAAGTTCGTGTTCATCTCAACTTGCATTTTGTAGATACAATTCAACTTGTAAGAAGACAATAAACTAAAAAACTAAACAAAAAAAAATTAATAAAACCAAAACAAAAATAGAACTTGAAAGGATACAAGTAAGACAGCACAAAAAATAAATTTCAGTGGGGCAACAAATTATTTAGTAAGCCACCGATTGTGCAAGTTCTCCCACTTAAAATGATGACAGAGGTCAGTAATTTCAGGGTATCCGCGGGTCCTTAAAAAGTCTTAAAAAGTCTTAAATTAGTTTTTCCTAATTTAAGGCCTTAAAAGTCCTTAAAAATGACAAATAATCCTTAAATCCAGTTTCCAAAGGTCTTAAATGACCAAAGACCCAATAAACAAGATTATTTTATTTCTATAAAAATGTTGTGAATCTCTAGTTAGTGTTCAGCATTTTTTGTGTATGATGTTGCCGTAAGCGGAACCGTACGCAGTCAGTTGCTTGTGAAAGGGGGCTATTTTTTTTTAGATGAGCACATTACCTGGTTAAGCTATGGGAGGTTGCTCCATGGGGAAGGGCAAGTTCAATGGTAACTGGATGGCTAATCCCACGTTCGCGACGTGGTTAGCACCGGCTCCAGGCAAGAGCTGGAAATTATCGCTTAAATTTAATTTTTAAAATAGCTTAAATTTGGCCTTAAAAAAGGTCTTAAAAAGTCTTAAATTTGGCTCCCTTAAACCTGCAGCTACCCTGAATTTACATCATAGGTACACTTCAACTGTGAGAGACAGAATGTGAAAAAAAAATCCATGAATTCACATGTTAGGATTTTTAAAGAATTTATTTGTAAATCAGGGTGGAAAATAAGTATTTGGTCAATAACAAAAATTCAACTCAATACTTTGTAACATAACCTTTGTTGGCAATAACAGAGGTCAAATGATTACTATAGGTCTTTACCAGGTTTGCATACACAGTAGCTGGTATTTTGGCCCATTCCTCCATGCAGATCTTCTTGAGAGCAGTGATGCTTTGGGGCTGTCGCCGAGCAACATGGACTTTCAACTCCCTCCACAGATTTTCTATGGGGTTGAGGTCTGGAGACTGGCTAGGCCACTCCAGGACTTTCAAATGCTTCTTACGGAGCCACTCCTTTGTTGCCCGGGCGGTGTGTTTGGGATCATTGTCGTGTTGGAAGACCCAGCCACGTTTCATCTTCAAAGCTCTCACTGATGGAAGGAGATTTTGGCTCAGAATCTCACGATACATGGCCCCATTCATTCTGTCCTTAACACGGATCAGTCGTCCTGTCCCCTTAGCTGAAAAACAGCCCCAAAGCATGATGTTCCCACCCCCATGCTTCACAGTAGGTATGGTGTTCTTTGGATGCAACTCAGTATTCTTCTTCCTCCAAACACAACGAGTTGAGTTTATACCAAAAAGCTCTACTTTGGTTTCATCTGACCACATGACATTTTCCCAATCCTCTGCTGTATCATCCATGTGCTCTCTGGCAAACTTCAGACGGGCCTGGACATGCACTGGCTTCAGCAGCGGAACACGTGTGGCACTGCAGGATTTGATTCCCTGCCGTTGTAGTGTGTTACTGATGGTGACCTTTGTTACTGTGGTCCCAGCTCTCTGCAGGTCATTCACCAGGTCCCCCGGTGAGGTTCTGGGATTCTTGCTCACCGTTCTCATGATCATTTTGACCCCACGGGATGAGATCTTGCGTGGAGCCCCAGATCTAGGGAGATTATCAGTGGTCTTGTATGTCTTCCATTTTCTGATAATCGCTCCCACAGTTGATTTTTTCACACCAAGCTGCTTGCCTATTGTAGATTCACTCTTTCCAGTCTGGTGCAGGTCTACAATTCTTTTCCTGGTGTCCTACGAAAGCTCTTTGGTCTTGGCCATAGTGGAGTTTGGAGTCTGACTGTTTGAGGCTGTGGACAGGTGTCTTTTATACAGATAATGAGTTCAAACAGGTGCCATTAATACAGGTAACGAGTGGAGGACAGAAAAACATCTTAAAGAAGACGTTACAGGCCTGTGAGAGCCAGAGATTTTCCTTGTTTGAAGTGACCAAATACTTATTTTCCACCCTAATTTACAAATAAATTCTTTAAAAATCCTGCCATGTGAATTCATGGATTTTTTTTCACATTCTGTCTCTCACAGTTGAAGTGTACCTATGATGTAAATTACTGACCTCTGTCATCATTTTAAGTGGGAGAACTTGCACAATCGGTGGCTGACTAAATACTTTTTTGCCCCACTGAATGTGTGTATATAAATAAAAATTTTACAAGGGGGAAGTTAAAGAGCACAGAAGTCCAATAACGAAACACCACTCGAGTTCAGATCAGGAGGTCTGCTCCTCCCAATCACACCCCTCCAGGTCATGCTGTCATTGCCCACATGAGCATTGATGTCCCCCAGCAGGACAATGGAATCCCCCTGATGGAGCACTATCTAGCACTCGTCCCAGGGACTCCAAAAAGGGTGGGTACTCTGAACTGATATTTGGCCCATAAGCACTAACAACAGTCAGGACCCGTTCCCCGACCCGAAGGTGCAGGGAAGCTACCCTCTCGTCCCCTGGGGTAAACCCCAACACACAGGCAGAGAGTCTTGGGGCTAACAAAAAGCCAACCCCAGCCCTCCGCCTCTCACCTGGAGCAACTCCAGCAAAGGAGAGTGTCCAACCCCTCTCAAGGACTTGGGTGCCAGAGCCAATGCTATGTGTCGAGGTGAGTCTGACTATATCTAGCCGGTACCGCTCAACGTCTGCCACAAGCTCCTGCTCCTTCCCCGCCAGTGAGGTGACGTTCCATGTCCCAAAAACCAGTTTTCTTGTCCGGGGATCGGACCGCCAAGGCTCCCGCCTCGGGCTGCCACCCAATCCACACTGCACCGGACCCTTCATGTTCCTCCTGCGAGTGGTGGGTCCACAGTTGGATGAGCCCATGTATCCGGTTCGGGCTGGGCCTGGCCGGGCCCCATGGGCGAAAGCCCGGCCACCAGGCGCTCGATCACGGGCCCCAACCCCAGGCCTGGCTCCAGGGTGGGACCCCGGTAACCCTCCGGGCCGGGTACTCCGACTCCTTGATTGTACATCCATGAAAGATCCTCTGAAATGTTCTTTTTCTCGCCCTTCACCTAAGACCAATTTGTCATTAGGACACTCAAACTCCTCCACCACGATAAGGTGACGGTTCAAGGAGGAGAAATTTACTTGTATTTCATTTTCTGAATGTAGAAAGTGGCAGCAGCAGCTCAGGAGGTAGAGCAGGTTGTCCAATAATCTGAAGGTTGCAGGTTCAACCCTGGCTGTGCCATAGAATGCTGTTGTTGTGTCCTTGGGCAAGACACCTTGCCCACCTTGCCTGCTGGTGGTGGTCAGAGGTGCTGGTGGCGCCTGTGCTTGGAAAGCTGCGCCTCTGTTAGGCATCCCAGGGCAGCTGTGGCTACATCGCAGCTCATCATCACCACCAGTGTGTGTGTGTGACTGGGTGAATGATGCACTGTAGTGTAAAGCGCTTTGGAGTCCTCTGAATCAGAATGGCATTATAAAAGTGCGGGTCATTTATCATTCATTTATATTTTTCCAGGCAGCCATTTTTAATTTACACCTAAAATAAAAAGTTTTTTAATATTCTGGCTCAGTTAAGCTTTTTTCTTTGTTATTTTTAAATTTTACTGTGTTGATTGTTTTTGTTTATTTCTTTGGTTTTAACATCATTTAAAGTTTAAACAACTAAATTACAAATAAAGCCAGAAAACTGACTTTCTGTATTTTTTCTTTCAAATTCAATAAAAAAAATTCTTAAAGAAAATCCCAGAAGGGAATTAAGTGTTGTTGTAACTCATTCTTGAAAGCAACAATAAAACCAATAAAATAATAGTAACAATCTCATATAGGTTGTTACTTTACTAGTGTGGTTGGTTTTATTTCATATGTGAGGAGTCCTTACTGGGACCACACCTAAAAACCAGTCCCTGCTCAGCCGCCCATCCCTGCTGCTTTAACCGCCTCAGTGAATGGTCACTCTTATCTTCTGGAACCAGAGGGCTGTAGGTGGTGTGGGCGTCCTAAAGAGCTCAGTAGAAGGGGAGGATCAGAGTGTGAGACCACTATAGTAGTCCAGTCTGAACACTATATGACCTCAGTCAGCAGGACGCAGCAGGCAGTCCCCGACACACACACGCTCACGCACACACACAGGACACAATAGGCTCTACAGTGCAGACGCTCAGTGTGTGGTACCAGAACCATGGAGGAAGGACCTTACAAGTACATCAGGGTGAGGCCAGTAGAGAACAGGCTTCAGCCCTTTTAGACAGGATTGTTGTGGTCGTAACTTTATTAGGACAATTACAGGACATTAATGTGTGTTATATGGGTGTGTTATAACTCATGTCACTGCTTTGTTTTTGTTCTGGCAGGAAGGCAATGGAAAAGTCAGTCGGGTGATCAGGATCGGGACCCGCAAGAGCCAGGTACAGCATTACAGGTCTTAAGTTTTGATCTAAGAGAACAAACCCCCCACTGAGGGGCAGCTGTGGCTCAAGGGGTAGAGCCTCAGATCAAAAGGTTGGCGGTTTAATCCCGGCTTCCTAACCACATGTCCAAGTGGGGACACTGACACATCTAGATATGTTAATCTCTTGTGTGTGTGTGTGTGTGTGTGTGTGTGTGTGAGAGAGAGAGAATCTTAAAACAACTCGGGATTCTATTCAGTTCTGATTATTAGGGCGACAAATCGATTGAGAATCGATTTACAATCAATGCTTTTAGTAACAAAGAGCATCAATTCCAGGATGAACTGCTTTCATCTGTCAGTCAGAAGTCTGTCAGGTGTCTGTGGCGTATGATGGACTGTGATGCAGTGGGTTGCTCTGGAGGTCCACGCATCAGGTGCTAGAATGATACAGGAAAGATCTGTGGACTAACAAACGGTACGAGCAGCGAATCAGCTAGGAAATGTCTTCTCAAGAACGGAAGCTTGGGAGTTTTGGATCGATTCTGAATCTTCATAAATAGAATCTCAATTCCAACGTGAATAGATTTTCCCGACACCTGTGTTCCTATTTGTTTTCCTTCAAACTTAGATGTAGCCGTCGTCCCAGCAAGCCTCGCAGAGAGCTGAAATGTCCGTTAGCTGTGAATTATCTGATGTGCTGCTCCTCCGTGCAGCGACGTCTGAGGCTCCTCCTAGCAGAGATAACACCATGCTGTCCCCAAACCACGGTGCGGATGGGCTTAGCCCTCCAGCTAATGTTGAGTGATTTTCTGTTGCAGCTGGCTCGCATCCAGACAGACAGCGTTGCTGACAGGCTAAAAGAACTCTACCCGGATGTCCACTTGGAAATTGGTGAGATGCGTTTGTGTCATTAAGAGTTCCACCGGCTTCGGTTAAAGTTGTCACTATTCAATCATTCTTTTTCTGATTTCCAGTTGCCATGTCAACGATAGGAGATAAAATCCTCGACACAGCTTTATCAAAGGTGAGGTGTTTCATTATTTTCATGCATCACAATTTACAAATAATGTCCAGGTCATTAAATAAACACTTTATTAACTTATGTTTGTGCTACATGTTAAACTTAGGCAACAAAAAAAAAAAAGCTTTGAAAACGTTTAAATTTAGCATTTTTTGTAAATTTGGGGCAATTATGATCATATTATAATGTAAAGTACTGATAAAGTAAAATAATAATGTGTGGTGGTAACGTATAACTTTAGACTGGAATATAAGGACCTTGATCAGCCAGTGAAAGAGTTAAAGTGACATTTATTTATCTTTGACACCCTGATTTTCACATTTTGGATCATTTCTGTCTCTTACCTGAGACTGAAACTCATTTTTCTAGTAAAACTAGCAGGAATTCTTCATGTTTTCTGTTTTGTACAGATCGGTGAAAAAAGTTTATTCACCAAAGAGTTGGAGAACGCCCTGGAGAGGAATGAGTGAGTGTGACTCAGGTCTAGAGGTCGACTGTGTAGGAGACACGGTCAGCCGATGGCCGATGCTGATTGCTTTGGTCCGACTTTCATCGCAGACATCTAAATGTTTTACACCTTATTTCCATGCAAAAATGTCACTAATAACATCAGTTGATGCACAAAAACTTTGAATTTAACCAAATGAATAAAGTTAATCAAATCAATTCAAATGAAATTCTGCAACAGCACCGGGGTGACCAGGGATGTGCCCGACTATAAATCAGCTTTAATAAGGAGGTGTATTGGCCGATGCCGATAATGGTAAAGATCGACAAACCCCTACTCGAGTCGTCAGACCCACAGACTAATGTTAGAGTCAGTGCTCACCTAACCAGACTCTTCACTGGGAAAAAGGAGGCACGACCCTAAATTCATCCCTTATTCATTCATTTATAGAGAAGCCAGAGCAGCTTCTGCTGTAGGATGACTGATGTGAGTTCAGAGACTCAGCCTTTGATTGCTGCAGCCTCAGATGTAGCAGCTGGCTCAGTTCTGCAGTCGATGGCTGCTTTACACAGAGTTGCTCAGGCCTTCCTGTGTGACCCCACAGGGTCGACCTGGTGGTTCACTCGCTCAAAGACCTGCCCACCACACTTCCTCCAGGATTCACCATTGGAGCTGTGCTGAAGTGAGTATGCACACACACACACACACACACACACACACACACACACACACACACACACACACACACACACACACACACACACACACACACACACACACACACACACACACACACACACACACACACACACACACACACACACACACACACACACACACACACAGACACAAAATGATTTATGCAAACTAAACAGATCCTGATCCTAGAACTTGTTGAACCAGCCTCATATCAGCGGTTCTGGAGGGTTCTGATCCACTCTTAATTTACAGTGTTGCTTGCCCTTTAACTGTGGAAACAGTAGGAAACTCATCAAAATGATCATTCAGTACATTTGGAACTTGTTTTGTTTATTCAATATCTGGAAAATGTTGTTGTTGTTTTTTTGTAAATAAGAATGAAAACATGAAGCACACCAGATGATGGATGTTTCACCGGTGTAATAAATCCTGCTGCCTGCTTAAAGAGCTCGTCTCTTATGCACACGTGCTGTCTGGTTGTTGGATAAGTCTCTCACTTTTCACAAAACTGCATGTTTGCACCTGAAGTTGGCCAACCCATCCTGAAATGTTCTGGTGTGTTTGTGTCATTCTGTTCAACTGGATATGAGACAGGACAGTAAATCTGGCAGAGAGCAGATATGGATGCAGATCCGTTTGTTTGAGTCCCTGCCTTCATGCCAGTGGAGTGTTTAGGGTGTAGTAATGGGGTTGGTATGTGTTTCAGGAGGGAGAACCCCCACGATGCAGTGGTGCTGCATCCCAACAACGCCGGCAAAACCCTGGAGACGCTGCCAGAGAAAAGGTAGAGATCAGTAATAAACACCGCTAGCCATGTCTGAATGTTTAGCTGACTGTGTGTGTGTGTGTGTGTGTGTGTGTGTGTGTGCGTGCGTGCAGTGTGATTGGCACTAGCTCACTGCGTCGAGCGGCTCAGCTGAAGAAGAGATTCCCCCACCTGGAGTTCAGAGATATTGTATCCTCTCTGATCTTCTCCTCTTTCCTGCTGGTCATGACTCCTTTTTTATACCATCACATATAAACCTTCCTTTTGTTCCACAAGGAAACTTATGCTAGGTTAAAAAAAAAGAGTATGGAAATCACAAAACTGTATTTGTATAGTTGGATTTTGATGTTTTTGTTCCACACATTAAAGCTGATAGAGTTGATCCTACTGGGCAGATAGTTGACGTATCCAGTGAATGCTCCTACATGCCGTGGGCCGAGTGCTGTTTTGTTGTGGAGGTGTTTTCTTAACTGCAGCCTCCAGCGTGGGAACCTGAACACGCGGCTGAAGAAGCTGGATGAAAAGCAGGACTTTGCTGCCATCATCCTGGCTGCTGCCGGCCTCAAGAGGATGGGCTGGGAGAACCGAATCAGCACGGTACAATGTGTGATCCCATCAATCCTCCTAGTCCAGTTTAGTGTCTAAAGGCCTCTGATTGGTTCTTACTTTTAGATCCTGGAGCCTGAAGACTGCATGTATGCTGTTGGCCAGGTAGGAACCAAAGATGTTCACATAGGGCTCATTTAATCTGACTTTTATTAATGTTTGTGCAACTTAAAGAGCAAGTCACCCCCTTCCAGAGTCTAATCCACTCCCATTTCCTGTATAAAAAACATGCCATGAATATTTTAATTTTAGCTCAGACGCACTAAAGTGCCAGCCTGGCAAGCCAGACTAAATAAATATATTATTTAGTCTGGCAACGCTCCATTGACACAAGGCCGGATTAACCATATGGGCAACTGGGCAATTGCCCAGGGCCCACAAACTCTAAAGGGCCCAGGGCAGCAAGAGCACGAGCAAAATACTGTATCTGTAATCTCCCACTTAATATTAAACTAGGGTGACCGTACGTCCTCTTTTTCCCGGACATGTTCACTTTTCACTCTCTGTCCGGGCGTCGGGGGGTGGAGGGTGGGGTGGGGGGGTTCTTGTATTGATGAAAATGTCTGGTTTTTCCTCCAGGAGCAGGGAACGAATTATGGGGGAGCCGGAAAAAACTTTTTCTACCTATATTAAATCATTTTTGGACTCTTTTGAGCAGAGAGCACATATAGCGATGATCGTTGGTGCGGCGCTCCAGGCAGCTGCTTCCAGCACACGGTCCATTCTCAAAGAGGCACAACCAAAAAACTATAATTAACACACGATCGTTCATGTCCGCACATGTTCTCTATTTTCTGTCTTATTTGTGCCTGAAGCGCTCTGCTACTGCGGAGCTCATCACCTGTGCTGTGGTGATGTCACCTCACTGACGCAGCATCGAAACTCGCTCTGCTTTGCGATCAGGAGATCCCTTTGATCTGCTCAAAAGTAACTGATGAGGTGAAAAGGTAAGAATCCAGGCAGCAGTTTTTCTGGAGAGTTTAGAGGAGATGCAGGAAGATGAGAGACAGACAGGACAGGAAATAGTTAAATAAAAACAAGAAAACAAAGTAAAATGTAGGTAGATTTATCTCCACTACACATTTTTATCTGTATAAAGCAATAAGTTATACACATGTCATAATTACACACCTGATACAGCTCAGATCACCTTCAACACTCAGTCACACACCCAGGGCCGTTTCAAGACATTTTGGGGGCCAAGACAAAATGAACCTGATGCTGTAGTACAACAAAAGGTATAATTTATTATTAATAAAACCTTGTTGCTGCACTAAAGCAGAAAAATGAGATTTTGCATTAAATATGCTAAATATTCACATATGAATTGTTTTAGAGCCCTTTTATTGGCAGAATCTGATATTAATAAAGTTCTTACAAAAAATTGGTCCCAACGTGGTTTGTGTGGCGTTGCCATAGTGTGACATCATAGGCACAGATCCCCTGTCCTCTTGTTTGGAAATATGGTCACCCTACATTAAACAAACTGTCCACCCGGGCTTTTGCGCTGCACAGAGACGCTTCGCTGCCTACGACTGAACGTCAGTTGAGAGTCAGTCTCATGCAGACTGACCAATGAAGAGAGGGCCTCAAGTTAAGACCCTCTCCTCATTGGTCAGTCCACACGAGGTGGGTCAAAGGTTAGCCTGAGCGGGTTACGTGATGTCAGGCATTCAAGTATTGAGTATATTTACTGCATATTACAGTAAAATATTCTGTATGTGACCATATTATGGTGATCCTTGGGTCGTGATGATGGGGCCCTTGAATATTGTTGCCCAGGGTACAACAAAGTGTTGATCCGGCCTTGCATTGACGGCTCTCGGTTGTGGGGCGGGTTCTACCGTTGTCTTTCAAATGATCTCCGCATTCCACTGGACAAAGAATGTGACATACTCTTGTTTCACTCTGTTGCATCATCCCACTTACCAGGCATATAGAGTGCCCTGATTGGCCCACAAAGTGGATAAAGCTCTGTGATTTGTTCACTAAGCAGATAGAGCACTATGATTGGCCCACCATTATGGACCAATCACAGCTCTTTATGTGTTTGAAACCCCTCTAGAGAGCTGTGATTGGCTAGCCAGAGTCCTGGTAGGAGCTGCGGAGGTTCCAATGGAGCGTGCCCAGACCAAACTTTGCAAAGCAAGAATTTGGTCTACAGGTGCTGGCCAGTAAATTAGAATATCATCAAAAGGTTGAAAATATTTCAGTAATTCCATTCAAAATGTGAAACTTGTACATTATATTCATGCAATGCACACAGACCAATGTATTTCCAATGTTTATTACGTTTAATTTTGATATTTATAGGTGACAACCAATGAAAACATCAAATCTGGTATCTCAGAAAATTAGAATATTCTAAAGGCCAATGAAAAAATGTTTGTTTCTCTAATGTTGGCCAACTGAAAAGAATGAACATGAAAAGAATGTGCATGTATAGCACTCAATACTTAGTCGGGGCTCCTTTTGCCTCAATAACTGCAGTAATGCGGCGTGGCATGGACTCGATCAGTCTGTGGCACTGCTCAGGTGTTATGAGAGCCCAGGTTGCTCTGATAGTCGTCTTCAGCTCCTCTGCATTGTTGGGTCTAGCGTATTGTATCCTCCGCTTCACAATACCCCATAGATTTTCTATGGGGTTAAGGTCAGGCGAGTTTGCTGGCCAATCAAGGACAGGGATACCATGGTCCTTGAACCAGGTGCTGGTGGTTTTGGCACTGTGTGCAGGTGCCAAGTCCTGTTGAAAGGTGAAGTCTGCATCCCCATAAAGTTGGTCAGCAGCAGGAAGCATGAAGTGCTCTAAAACTTCCTGGTAGACGGCTGCATTGACCCTGGACCTCAGGAAACAGAGTGGGCCAACACCGGCAGATGACATGGCACCCCACACCATCACTGACGGTGGAAACTTTACACTGGACCTCATGCAACGTGGATTCTGTGCTTCTCCGCTCTTCCTCCAGACTCTGGGTCCTTGATTTCCAAAGGAAATGCAGAACTTGCTTTCATCAGAAAACATAACTTTGGACCACTCAGCATCAGTCCAGTCCTTTTTGTCCTTGGCCCAGGCGAGACGCTTCTTGCGCTGTTTCTTGTTCAAGAGTGGCTTGACACACGGAATGAGACACCTGAATCCCATGTCTTTCATGAGTCTCCTCGTGGTGGTTCTTGAAGCGCTGACTCCAGCTGCAGTCCACTCTTTGTGGATCTCCCCCACATTTTTGAATGGGTTTGTCGTCACAATTCTCTGCAGGGTGCGGTTATCCCTAGAGCTTGTACACTTTTTTCTACCACATTTTTTCCGTCCCTTCGCCTGTCTGTTAATGTGCTTGGACACAGAGCTCTGCGAACAGCCAGCTTCTTTAGCAATCACCTTTTGTGTATTGCCCTCCTTGTGCAAGGTGTCAATGATTGTCTTTTGGACAGCTGTTAAGTCAGAAGTCTTCCCCATGATTGTGGTGCCTTCAAAACAAGACTGAGGGACCTTTTAAAGGCCTTTGCAGGTGTTTTGAGTAAATCAGCTGATTAGAGTGGCAGCAGGTGTCTTCTATATTCAGCCTTTTCAGAATATTCTAATTTTTTGAGATACCAAATTTGGAGTTTTCATTAGTTGTCACTTATGAATATCAAATTTAAATGTAATGAACATTGGAAATACATTGGTCTGTGTGCATTGCATGAATATAATGTACAAGTTTCACGTTTTGAATGGAATTACTGAAATATCTTCAACCTTTTGATGATATTCTAATTTACTGGCCAGCACCTGTAGTTCACTAGGCTAGGAAAGTGCCAGATTATTGATTACACACGCCTACAGCACGATTAGACACTCACTTATTTAGTTTATCAGCAAAAAAGGTTGATTTGGGGTGACGTGCTGTTTAAACTTAGTAAAGTCCCTAATGTGTGTGTCTGTCTCTCTCTCTCTCTCGCTCGCTCACTCGCTCATCAGGGAGCTTTGGCAGTGGAAGTTCGGGCCAGAGATGCAGACATCCTGGAGATGGTGTCCGTCCTGCATGACCCTGAAACTGTGCTGCGGTGCATCGCTGAGAGAGCCTTCCTCAGACGTCTGGTACAACACACACACACACACACACACACACACACACACGCTCGCTCGCTCGCTGCTTTTCACATAGCCTTAAACAGGAGCTCATGGTGTGTAACTGTTGGTTTGCAGGAGGGGGGCTGCAGTGTTCCAGTGGCCGTACACACCCAGGTCAAAGACTCCCAGGTATGAAATACTAGTTAGACTGAACTCCAGCCGGCTCTGCTGCTGTGGTCAGAGAGTTTCCTACAGCCTCAGCTGATTGTCCACACTGCTCTCTCGTTTACTCCACATAAATATGTGTGACGTTTTTAGTGCCTGAAGCCTGTAGTGCACGTGTGTGCACTACATCTGCTTCGACCTCTCATTACCTCAGCACACACTTACCAGAATGCAATAGAGCTAAAGTGCACCTCTGGGAAAAGGGCCGGCTCTACTGGCAGGAGTCAGGTGTGTCTTGTAGGAATCTGCTCCCTGAGTTCATAAACCATGCATGCTCATGGATGTGGACGTTGGTTTGCAGGTTGGGTCGAGCTGGACCAACATTCATGGACTCCCAGTTGTGTCCAAACATGTGATGATAAAACCAAACCTTGTCTCTAATGTGGCGAGCTAATCAGCACCGTAGGGAGCAGAATTAGTTTCCTTTGTTGTCTAGGGACCGTCTGTAAAGTGCAACACCTTTATAGTGATACTGTAAATAAACTCATTCTTATTAATTCTAGTTAGTTAAATAATAAAACTCACCCGACATCACTGGACTGCCACTGATTATAGCAGAAATCTGGAGTTTTTTTCTTGAAGGGCACCATCTAGAGGCAGAAACATGTATCGCACCTGTAGCCCCTCTCTTTTTATTCAAACACCTGAGACCTGCTGGACACCTGAGGCAGTAACACCTTACAGCCGAATAATGCAGCATCAAATTTAGTCATTTTTATGGGTTCCTCAGTATCTTTTTTCTTTTTGTGTGCGTAACCAATCATCACAGTAACAGTTAATAACGGCTTTAACCACAAATCAGCGAGGGGCGGCCCCATCCAGACTGGTTACCATAACAACAAGGTGGTGATGCTCCTAGATAGTAACAGCATGCCTGTATGTGTTAGATATCTAACTATTTAAATAGCCGTTAGTGTACAGAGTTGTTTTAGACTCACTTTTAGCATCTAATGATTTTATTCATTCTGAAGGAGAGAAAACTAATGAGTCCACTCGGTTCTGGAGAGGTTTAAGTTCAGTCTTGTTTCCTTAGCTCTACCTGACCGGGGCCGTTTACAGCCTGGACGGATCAGACAGTCTGAAGGAAACGATGCAGACCAGCACTGCTGCTGATGACAAGGTGAGTGCATTCAGGGGTTCGGCTGCTGTCAATTTCATAGGTTCAGCACCTGTCTTTAACCTATTAAAAACATGTCTACAGGTGCTGCAGAGCTTGGAGGAGGTGGACGAGCAGGTCCAGAGAGTGGGAGTCACAGCCAGCAAAATCCCAAGTGATGCCCAGGACAGGGCTGAGCGTCTGGGCATGGAGCTGGCTGACCTGCTGCTAAGTAAAGGTGCCAAAGAGATCCTGACGGTGGCCAGGCAGCTCAACGATTCCAGATAATCCCATGTTCAGGGACGGGCCTTCAGTCCACAACGGCCTTGTTCCAGGAGCAGATTCCTAAGAAGTGGTAGTCTTGTGATGTTGAGTCTGAACCAGGAGAGGAATTTAAACACATCAGCGGTTTGGTGGGAGTCCTTCCTGTCTGTGGGCCTTGGTTTGTTCCTCTAGAACCTTTTCCTGACGATCACCAGGAACCAACGCGGAGCGGCCTTTGGACATTATAATCAGCAGCATGGCTTTACTTACATGCTGTATGAAGTGAAGTACCTCTAAACCTAGCGTCGTCAACAGGAAGTAAACAAATCAGTTCCTCTTTTAGCTTGATGGTCATTCTGACAACCACATCTGGTGTTCCCAGAGACTTTGTTAGATTCATGTAGCTGAAAAATCTAATTAATATAAATATAAAGTCATTATTATTTGTACATTTTATCAGTGAAAGCTGCTGACACAACCATCCTGCCTTACTTCTTATGTTTGGGGTGTTGAGCCACCCGACTGGAAGGAAGCGGCTTGCTGTGACTGAGTCAGCACACCGCTCGTTTTACTTTAGACCTTTTAAACACTGGATCTGATTTCCTGTTTCAAACTTTAACACTTCCTGTTGGAGATAAAAGCATAAATCTCTTCAGATGCACTCGTACATGAAGTCACATTTACAGGGGTTCTCATCACCATAGCAACTAGTGTGAAGCAGCCATGTATCTGTGGGGCGTTTCAGAAGAACATCCATCCTGGAGAACGTGTTTGTATTTAATAATTCTATTTCAGCTGTGGTTGATCTTCCCTGAAAACCCCATGAACAGGAAGTGAGTGTTCTCTCTATCCTCTCTTTTTTATGCAGGATCATGAAACCATTGTTGAGCTTTAGTTGAGTATTACACTTGAAAGGTAAAAAGTACAGAAATAATAAAAAGCCTTCCTTCACTTTGAGACTCATTTAAATTATTTACTTGTATAATGTCACACACACATTTCTACTGAAGCTCGTAATTAAACGTGTTTAATGAAACATGCCCAACACCCGTATAGGTGTGTTCCTGTGATGGAGACCTGTCCAGGTGTAGCCGCACCTCCCACCTGGTGACTGCTCTCTGAGACCCTAGTGAGGATGGACGGACAACTGTTTCTATGTTTTCCACAAAAACCACACTGAAGCATTTTCTAAAAACCTAAACTAAACTACCACATGGTAAAAACTAGTTAAAACTAAAACTACCGTAATTAATAATTCATGAAATGAAAAATGCAAAACAATTAAAATCAGGGCAGCTTTATTGGTGAAGCTGGACTTTGGGATTTTACGGCTGGAAAAACGCACGCTAGCATAAGCAGCTTTTCACCAGAGAGGACAAGGACATACTAGTGTCCATCAGGTGTTGAACGAATATTGCACGCATACTGAATATTGCATTGATGTTATTGTGTACCAGGATCATGCCAGTACAGCCTAAACTGAGGAGTTCTACACTCTGCAGAGGGGATGAATGACCTACGGCAGCATTCTGTTTTACATCTGGGATGTCTCAGTCTGCCTCTGAAGAAGCTGTCCATGGTCTCAGCAGTGGAACGCAGTGGTTGGGAGGGGATTTTTTTAGGCTGGAGATCATTTTCGTCAGCATCCTCCTTTCGAACGTCTCCTCCACTGTATCCAGTGGGCAGCTCAGAAGCGAGCTAGCTTTGTGAACTAGCTCGTTCAGTCTCTTCCTGTCTCGGTCAGAGCTGCCTGCACCCCAACAGACCACAGCAGAGTGAAAAAAGGATTTTAGCAGATGGGAATTAACTCCGAAGGACCTCAGCCTCCTCAGGAGTTGGAGGCAGCTTTAGCCCTTCTTATACAGAGCATCTGTGTTGTTGGACCAGTTTAGTTTGCTGTTGAGGTGAACAAACATGTACACTTAAAAAAAAGTCATGCAATGAGATTCCCTTGACTTTTTTTTTACATGCAGTTTCTCACAGTTGAAGTGCACCTTTGATGAAAATTATAGACTTTTCATCTTTTCAAGGGGAACAACTTACACAATCAGGGCCTGCCAAATACTATTTTGCCCCTCATAATAATGTTGCTGATGTTGTTTAAGTAGATGCCTCAAACTTTATACTAAGATGCGTAAGAGATATGGTGTTTGCCAAATATTAAAACATCCTCATAGCCATGAGATGCACAAATAAATATGGTTTCATAGCCTATTATCAACATTCATTGTAACAGTGTGAGCGTCCTGTCACCGTGTCCCGATTGATCATGCGCCCTGGCAACTTGGCCAAGGAAATGTCCCTTTGGCTGACTGGTAAGCGCGCGTAACCCTCACCCGGGAGTCTGGGGATCGAATCCCGCCCGGGCCCTCGTTTCTCCACCTTGCCACATTCATGAAAGACATTTTTTAGACAGAAGTGTGTTTTGCCACCCGGCAAATAAGCAGCACCATCCTCATTTGAATTACTGTACAGTCTTTCTCCATTGGTTTGGCTCATTTCTTGAAACAGAAATGACATTCTCAAACCTCTAAGATCATTTGGCAAGACACTCTTACATTTCAGCACACTATAGCTCACCTGCAAAAGCTCATATCTCTTGAAACTTCACTCGGGCTTCAGTTTGAATCCCTTTCTCATTTAAACAGTCAGTGTCTCCAAAATGGCAAAGATCCTTCTCAATAGCTTTGGCTCATTTCTCGACACAGATCGGTCATTCTCATCATTCTTGGTGCTTTTGTCAAAATAAACCTGGATGGTTGATCACAACAACATGGTTTACTTGCAAAAGTTCATATCGCTCCTAAAACAGTTCACTCATGTGTCAAAACTTCATTTCTTTCTATTCTGAATAGTCAGTGCCCCCAAAATACGTCGTCCCATTGGCATTGTGTGAGTACTGCCATACAGAATGTTTAGAGGTTTGGTCACTATGACGGAGGACCAACAATATACGACCAAAAAGAGTAGCCTCCATGGTTTTACATTACAGGTTGCACTCACACTACTAAGGAAATTATAACCATTTTTTATTCACATGCAAAGAAAGTGTCATACATATGTCAAAAAGAAAATGTACATTACAGTCATACAGTAAATTGTATGAACACAAAATAAAAAAGCAAGGATGTCTTCAGTGGTCGCTGTACTCATTCTCCTGCTCTTGTCCACCGTCTTCACCCTCCTGATTATTTACACGCTGTTGTCCGTCTGGCCACAGATTCCCTTCCACATCACAGCGGATACTTTCTGTTGTGATGCAACGAGGGAAGAAACGGCTTGCATGCCGCAGCCATCCCCTGCATTGATCTCCTGTAATGTCGTCACACGCCCATAGCATGGAGCAGGGACGGCTGATCCTGAGCATGATGCTCATACACTCTCCACCTCCAAGCGGAGAAAACACCTGTGTGTGTGTGTGTGACACTCCTCGTTTGTTAGTCTAGTTTCACCTGACTGTCAATGACTGTCATCAATGTATCAAATATTCAAAGAAATTCATACATGGTATTCATGGTATTATGTTCTTGACCAATTCTCACAATTGAACAGACAGTTGTGCATGCGAGTACTTAACACAATGAAATCATGCTGACATGTTTAGGAGAGAATGATCACTAGAATGAGAATCAACTAATCAGTTTAAATCTACAAGATCTATTTATTTGGAAAATGTACTACATGTGGGCTAACTGTATAACTGTAGGCTACGTGTACTTAATCATTTGCAAGATGTACTGAGACAATTGAGACATTTGAGAAAATGAATGAGAAATGCCATTCTGTTGTGAACATTTGCCAAGAGGTTTGGAGGTTTGTCCGTGTTATTTTGAGAATGCAATTTCTGTTTCAAGAAATGAGCCAAACCAACGGAGAAAAACTGTAATATGCAGCAGCCTGTTACTTTGGACTAAACTCATGTTCACTTAAAGTGTGTTTGTTGCACTGAGCAAACACTAGAGGGAGCCATTACCCAATCCACAGATTTATTTCCCATGTTTATTCTTTAACCCTTTGATGCATGAATTATGAAATCTTCAACCGTGATTTTTTTAACAATTTTTGTCATTCATCTTTAGGTGTGAATGAAACAAATTTCAACAAATATTTTTTGTAAAATTTTATAATTTACAAATAATTTATTACATGTCCACCTCAGTGGACAGCGTGCATTCTGAACATGAAATATGTTGGCTTGACATACTGAAGTCCAAATGGAGGGGCTCAAATGCAATAAAGTCTTCAACAGCTGTGCTTAATAGCAAAAACAAACAAATAACAATTTTGAGTACCTGTCCACTGTAGTGACCGTTATGCATCAAAGGGTTAAAATGACTTTTGTTTATGCTTTAAAAAACAAACATTACAGTGTATTAAAATACCAGTGAAGTATAAACTAATAGATTATAATCTGAGTTTTTTCCCACTGTGAGAAACTGAAACAATGACCCAGTTTTCTTTCACATGAAAGTTAAACAGCACTTTTGATCAATTCAGAGCCAAATAACCAACGTGTGTTTTGGTCTCACAATGTTGCAAAATTTTATGCAATAATTAAAGAGTCTGAGTTTGTTTTGTCTTTACAAACGAGCACCAATGAGTTTTTTCATCTTCTGTTTCATTTTAGAATCAGCCTCTCTTCGTACATTTGTTTCCTTTAAACCACCAGTCCTTGAAGGAAAGTGAACTTGTCCAGACAGAGAATGAGAAGCAGAATGTGAACGGTGAATGGGTCGGTGCAGAAAGCTGTGAGCTGCAAAGCGGCTGACATATTGTCGATGCAACTTCAGAGCTGTTCCCCAGCGAGGGTCTCAGCAGCCTGCAGAATGGCAGACTGCTGCTCACATCCTGAACCATCTGGAGTTCTGATTCATGACTGATGTGAGGTCATTACTTCACTCTGCACATGTTTGTGGGAAACCGAATAAGTCATATGTGGAAAAAGTTGGATAATGTTGATATGGTTTTCTTGTTGAACTTTGATGACTGGTGGTTGGACTTTGACATCACCAAGGCCACAGTGGTTCCATCTGTGACTGATACGTCAGTGATAAATCACCTGCCAGGTGTGATTCTTCTGAGAACTCTGGTGCCTTCAGACTGCACCATCAGCAGTTGGCATAGAAGGAGACCTGCTCTTTGTCTGATTCTGTATCAACCATCACTCATTGACCTGGAGTCCTGGGACTCGTATATCCCGATGGCCTCTTTGTGGTTTTAGTTCTGCATTTAATGCAATCATTTTACAGACACTGGTCAACAAATCGCTGTTCTTGGATTGAAACCATCAAGGTGCATTTGTGTATTAGACTTTCTGACAAGCAGACAACAGTCTATGAAGATCTATGGTATTTCCTTTTATTTTTTTTTACCAGCACTGGTACTCCACAAGGAGATGTCCTCAGCCCCCTCCTGTACACAGCACTCATTTAGGATTGTTCTGCAAAATCTTCTGCTGATCATGTTCTGAAGTTTGCAGATGTGTGTGGCCTCACCTTTTGTTTTTGTTGCAGGTTGACAGCTGTAGGTGGTGGCTGGAGTGTTATCTCCAAGTGTGCGTAATGTCCAAGGTTTCCTTCACTCCTGAGTGCATGGTGTCTGAAGTGTTTTTGCTTTTGTTTACTTTTCTTTAGTGGGATTCCACCCCCCAGTTTCTGAATGATCAGTCTGGGTTTATGGTAAGTAATTAGTTAGAATTCCTTTTATATTCTTAAGGTCTTAGTTTTATTGATCTCATTTTAATAAATCATAGAATCATTTTTGGAACCGTGTCTCCTGCTCACCTACAAGGAGTGGCCTAATATGTGTCTTCCTTCATATTTCTATTCCTTGATGTACAAGGTGGTGTTGTTTGGATTTTGATTAAAATCTGGTACTTGGAAATAACTGAAAATAGGAGAACAAAGTGTAATTACAGAACATCCCTACTCTCTAGTTTTCTTGCTCCCTCT